GCTTCCATCCATAAGAGGACCAGAACTCTTTTACACGCTTTCAACGGTTTTTTTTGGTTCACTTTAGCCACGTGGGTAATACAAAAGAAAAGGATGCATCTTTGGGTAGAGCCGTGATGCAACCGCACGCGTCCGACATCGTTAGACGCAACTGGATGTCACCTTTCTTCATCAGTATTTCGAATTGACTGGTTCTTAGCTACACACAAACCTTACAGCCATCATCACAACCATCAATAAGTGTTAATTACCTATTTCCCACTGCGACACCTTCGAGTTCAAGACGCCATAGCATCGATGCCGCATCCACAATATCCAACATGGCACCGCTTTTCTTTGCACGTGGTATGATTTGCCTGATAATTCAGAAGATATAAGATAGAAGACATAAAGCCGTGGCGCAACCGCACGCGTCCGACATCGTGAGATGCAACTGCATGTGACCTACTTTTTCAGTTGTGCAGTTCAAGGCATGAAATTCGAAAACCTCACGTACAACCTTGTCTGCTGTGGGTGTTGTACGGTCACGGTGGCTGAATCTGGCACGGCGCCAGCTTCTACAACTGGTGGAGAGTGGAGCGGCTCCAGTCCAGCCCACAAGCAGGACCCAACATTTGCGCGAACAAGAAATCTCGGGCTTGTAGAAGAAGCTTGACAAAGATCGGGTACAGTCACCGTCCTTGCAAACATGTGCGTCTTCCTTCTCACCAATATGATGTCTCTTATCATTGGAGACTCCATTGTTTGGTGATTAATTGGCTACATCTATACTGTCGCCGTTATTTTGCAGTAATTTCCTACGCCCTTTTCTTTTCTTGTGTTTGTGAGGGGATTATTATGACTTTGAACTGTATTTCACCGGGTAATACTGACTGCATCCTCAGAGACTATGCTTCCACCGTTAGCGGTGCAACCTGCCGGTCAATCGAATCACTGTCAATTCGTGCTGCTATTTTCCTGTCGGGCGAACTACTTAAAATATTTTTCTAATTGAAAAACACTTATATTCCCTTCTTTGCGAATTCTCCGCATCCTTCTCCGCCCCGTCGCATGTTCAGAAACTTAGGTAAGACAACGACAAATATAATTACCTGTCATAAATTTCCAGTGGGACTTCAGTGATGTCCTTTTCAAGGTAATACAGAGCGTTGTGCCAGTAATTATGCGCGGCCAGCATCCATCCTCGCTAAAAATTCACGTAATTCACGATGTTGTGAGGTATTCAGATCAGACTTCCCTGAAACCAAATTAGGTATGAGTCAGGAGATTCGAGTTGCGGTGACAGGATGAAAGTAACTTGGCACGCGGCTTTTCCCTAGATAGTTGACTCGGGCTAACTGTAAGCAAGTACCAGTTCGCCTATACTGAGAATTCGCCATAGGAACCCGGAGTAGGAGGCAGGACGCTGGGTGGGGGATAGCGAAAGCAGCAACTATGGCCCAGGCACAAGCATTCCGATGGGATTTTGGTCGCTTAACGACCCGCCCACCTTTTTTTCAGGGGCTGGTACGAAACCCCGCCCCCCCATGTTAGTACGATGGCTGGCTGACTGTGGTGTCGGTGGCTTCTTATATCTCGGCGAAAAAGTTGTCGAGCGGGGGGGGTATGTAGTAAGCATGCGACGAACACACATCGTACGGGCGTACATAGTACCTATAACACAGAAAATTCATAAGAAACTCATGAAGTCGAACTACGTAACTCCCCTCGGCCCAGAAATACGACGACCCCCCCCCCTCCCAACAACGACCAAATACGACCGACCCCTCCCCCTCCAAAACGTCCGCAAAGCGAGAAAAATCAACTATAAAAATAAATTTTTCTCAGCCCAGCCATAATTACGAACCGTCCCTGCCTTTTTGGCAGCAAGTTTTCATCCCCCCAAATACGACCCCCCCCCTTTTGGCGGCCAAATACGACCCCCCCCCCCATAGGGAATCCCCATCGAACGCTGTGCCCTGACTATGCCACATCATGTCTGTCTGCATGCACGTGCCCCTCAACGAAACGTAAACGTGGCGCGAACAGTCTTGTTCGCTACGGATGATGGGGCGTGTCAGGGAGGGGAATGGATTTGGCACCCGTTTTCGTCATTCGGCAAGCGGTAAATGAATGATATCGTTCGTATTAGTCGTGTTCCACCAGTTCTAGTCGCTTACCACTCCAACAACTGACGGAGAATGGGCTGTTGGCGCGCCAAATGAAGCCTCACTGACCGGCCCACACGGCTCATCATCCGCGGTGAACAAGACTCTATTTCCTCTCTAGGTGTCGAAAAGGCGTAGTTAGACAAGGCGAGGTAAGATAAACAAGAAGTCACGTGGTGCAGTCGCCTCGCATGGTCCCCTTCCACTCCCCATCGACCTTCGCTCCACACAAAGCTCCCTATTTGTACCCTTTGCCCCTCAGTACAATGAGGAAACTCAGAAGAAACAAGCTCACTTTCCAGTCTTCTTCGGTGCTCTCCATAAATGCAATACCTTCATCGAATCGTCCTTGCATTTCTATTATGTGTGCACGTGCATGGGTGGACCAGCAGTCGAAGCGATTCAGTTCCAAACCCTGAACTCAGCTTTTCATAAAAGCGTTTGGAAAATGTATCATTCATACCCAATAGTACCTTCAAAGCTTCCTTCTCAGCCTCAGCATATTGCTCACACTCCTCCAGT